GTGCCGAGACCCCCGTCGGGGGGCCCCTCCTAACTACTGCTCTGCTTTCCGCTCCTGCTTCCCGCCCGGTTTGCCGCTCTGCTTTCTGGTCCCTACTCGTGGCCCGAGCTGCTGCTCTGCTTTCTGCTTCCCGCCCTGAGTCTCATGCCCAGCCGGTAGCTCTGTTTTCTGCTCGCTGACCTGTGCTGCTTTCTGCTCCCTGCCCTGCGCCCCATGCCCGATTTGCTGCTTTGCTTTCTGCTCCTTGCTTTGTGTCTGATCTGCTCTGCTCCCTGCCCTTGTGCCCAATCTGTTGCTCTGGTTTCTGCTTCCCGCCCCTCCTTGATCTGCCACACGGCCCGTATGCGCGTGCACCCCACCATTTCGGTAAACAAAGCCGGGGGAAAAGGGGTTTGTCGTCTGTAAACGTGGGCCCAGCCTGCTGCTTGGAGGGATAAAAAAGGACCGTGAAGCGATGGTTTCCTGGCCCGTTGGCATGAGACCCCGAGTAAATAACGAGGTGCTGAGCAGCACCGGGGGCTGTGGCTCCAGCAGGAGACTCGTAGCCAACAAGGGCGCATTCAGCGGAAATGGTTGAACTCATCCCTGTTGAGGTGGATGCCCTTTTAAACCCGAACAGGTTCTGCCGTGTGGCATCTGCACCCATGACTGATCCCACTGGCGCTTGTTGTCTTGCCACCTTAAAAATGTTCCTCTTTGGGGTTTCGGCCACGTTCCAGCCTCTCCTGGAGTCTGCAAATTGCTGGCCCTGCTTATCTCCACAGCAAGGAGAGACGATCTTTGTGCTTCGTCTCTGTCATTTTAATTTAAATTACAGGCGCAGGCTGTGTCAGGCTGGGCCATCCCGACAGCAAAACGCGGTGCGAGTTCAAAGAGAAAATCACAAGCGACTCTGGTAGAGACCGTGTCTTCGCAAAGTGATTTTTCATTCAATTTTTTAAAATGCACTAAAAAAAAGGGGGCACAATCCTGTGCGCTGGATCCACTGGGCTCCTTTCACCCTGGTGTTTGCCAGCGCGGCTGTGAGTCATGAATTTGCCCCTATGAAATCACTTCTAAATTTGGTCCAGCATACCAGGTTTGCAAGTGAGGATGTCACAGTAAATTTCGATCCAGCGTTGGTTTTGTACAAACAAATAAGCAGTGGAACTGTTCCCAATTTTAGTCCCGGTGTTTAAATAGAGGATGATTTTAAACAGCGTGGAGGCTGCAGTGAAACATTGTAGCCTTGTGCCTGAGTACCAGGAACTGAAATGGACTGAAAGCAAAACCAACAAGGCTCCCTTTATTATGGAGAAAAATGCAGACAGTGAGCAGCAGAGATGAAAGGCGCATTGGATTTTTAAAACTCGTTTGTCTTGTATAAGGTTTGGGTTAGAATGGTTCATAAATGTATCTTTTTACTTTGAGTGCTCCTTTCATCTGAAGGAATATTGTAAGAAAACGGAGGTGCCTGAATCACTGCTTTAAAAGTGTTTTCGATATGTACGCTGAAATAGGAGTCCTGTGTGGGCAGAACCCGATTGCCACAGTGCCGATGTTGTGAGTGCCTGCTACCCTCTGGCGGCGAACAGCGAGCACCGCGGTTTTTACAGATCTGTCCTAATTCATATTTTCATTTCTGTGATTTATTTTACATGCATTTTTATTAGTGCTTATGCCTGGTTTGATAGCATAGTTTTCATGGCTGGGGAAAGAGAATTCATTCTGAAGACAGGGCTGGTTAGACGTACTAAACACAGAGAGAAATGCATCCTGAATTCTGTATAAGATCTGAATTCTTTTCATGATGATTTGTTAGCCTATCTCTGCTCTTTATTATCCCTGTCCTGTCTACCCAGGTGTTTTGTGAGCAGGTCGTGATGGTGCTTTTTTGTAGAAAGACGTTCTAGTCCCATGCAGTCCTGTGCTCCCCGCCAACATGGTGGGTATGAGTTGCAGCTCTTTCTGGACTTCTGATATCAGGTGTGCAGTGTACGACAAGAGCAGGTTTCTTACTGTTTGATTTGAACTTTCCTGACAAATTCTTTGCAGAATTTTTACAGCATCTAAAGTGCTCAGACTATTTTTGCTGCCTTTGTTCTGTGAGATTTAGTAGGATTTAGAGTTGGGTTGAAGCGCACCCCATTTCTGCCTGGGAGAAAAACAGTACATCTTCCTGACTTAGTACTCTGCGCCCTGGTTTAATTACTTTGCCCAGAAGAAGGGGACACATGAGCAAAATCAAAAGTGTTGGTGTGTGAGAAAAGAGGAACTGTAATCTACTGGCTAAAGCCTGGAACGAGACGTCAGCAACTTTGGGCTCTGTTTTCAGTTTTGCCACGGCCCTGCTGGGTATCCTTGGGCAGGTTCCTCAGTTTTCCCCACCTGTGAAATGGAAGTGGAGAAGTGCTGTCATCCCACAAGGTGCTTTGAGGCCAAATTGATGATAATTGAAGTACTTGTAGTGTTCTCTGGGAGGTTTATAACAACTGAACCAGCACAGGAGCGTGCCGTGCTATCCTGTCAGAACTTAAGGGACACTTGGGGCTTCTGTTTTTCAAAGCAAGAAGCAGCCAGGGGCTACAGGGCCAAGGGAAAAAGCATGGTGTCATTGAAAACAGCGTAACGGATCTAGAGGCTGCTTGCTTTGTAGCTGGCCCACAGAATTTGAAGGCATCACAGCTTCCTTGGAGATGTCAGTCCAGAGTGCCAAGGTGTGAATAAATCTTGAAGTTGCCTCCTCAAACTGGCTTATTTTCTCCAGTTAAGGCCGGGGGGGGGAGGGGGGGGTAGAGAGTTCCTGTAGCATATGTGACTTGTTTGAATCGGGCAGATGCCATCACTCTAGTGAGTACGGCCCCCTGCCAAAATGTTGGAGACACATGGAGAGGAGTGCTCTCTAATGTCGTATCAGGTCAATTGAGTTTTCTGTCCTGTGCAGGGCCCGAGCGCTGAGTGCGAGAAGCTTGCGGAAGGCAAGTGAGGGAATGGGCAGCGAGTTTGGTGCTAGTGAGGTGTGGGATTGACAGGCCTGAAGGAGTCTGCTTTCCCTTGCAGCCTTTTCCTTGCTGCTCTCTGTGTTTCAGCCCTGCCATAAGAGCACCCTTTTGGGAAGAGAGAAGCTAGCAGGCTTTGTGTCTGTTTTCTAGCCAAATCCAGCAAAACTCGTATGCACGTGCTTAACTGCAAACCTTTACTTTAGGTCTTCCCCTTTCCACAAAATGTCTGTTTAAAAGTCAGGGGATTTTACATGCTTTGCTGAACTGGGGCTTGAGCCATTGCCTTTTCAACTGTGACAACCAAGGAGGCTTTTGATGCGTGTGCTTGCCCAGTAAGTGGATTAACAGAGTAGACTGTGCACTCTCCCTCAGTCTGTCCAGAGGGAAGAAGCCATGAAGGTGTTTTTTCTGTACGTACATGGTAGGCTGAGGCAGCTTGGCTCTGAGGCCACAGTGTCGTACAGAAGGGAAGTTCTTGTTCCACGTAGGCTTGCAAACGTGTGCTCGTGAAAGTTATAGAATTGGCCATTAAGTAGGTTTCTGTCCCGTGCAGCCATGGTCTAACCCAGCAGTACTCTCTAGAATCGCAGGTCTCTTTATTTCAGGTTTCAAGAACTGGAGAGAGGATTTCTTCTGTGGAAAGCATCAGTGACCCATCACAGAGGTCAGAATGAAGCTGCTGAAAAGACGAGAGCCCTACCTTCAAGAAGTCCTGCGGTTTGCAGTGTGGTGCAGAGCCGTGACACTTCTGCTCCAGGTAAGCCTCCTGCGCCAGTTTGAGGAGCTGGCGTAGCTGGACAGTGCTACAGAAGTGCTTGGTTGAGCAGGATCAGCTCCAGAGTAGCCGGGAGTAAACTGCATCATAACTGGCTGCAGGAACACAAGTGCTAGAGAAGAGACCTGTTAGTTCAGCTCCAGCCTGCAGGCAGGGGCCGACCCAGGACTTTGATTTTTCCCTCTGTGTTTCCCAGAGCTTTGTGCAGTCCAGATGTAGGTGTCCCAAGCAATTGGGAACCCCACCTGGAGCTATTTCAGTCCAGCAAACCTTGCCATCGGAAACTTTTCCTGATACTCACCCTGCATGTCTGAGCGCCTCATTGTACTCCCTCATTGGTGTTAATACTCCCCGAACCCCTGAAGTCTTCATTCACTGGCCCTGTCTTCAGTACGAGGCATGACTAGTTTCAGTTCTCTCCCTCTCTCATCCAGGCTCTGTTTAACCTCCTGATCCCGGACCACGCTGCAGACGCCTTCTCTCCACCCCGCCTGTCTGAGCCCAGCTTCTGTGACTGGCTATTGGAGTGGCTGTTGGGAGGCTTGTCACACTGGGATGCAGAGCACTTCTTGTTTGTAGCTGAGCATGGCTATGTGTATGAGCACAACTTTGCCTTCTTCCCCGTGTACCCCCTGAGCATACGAGTGGTGGCAGAGGTCGCTCTGTGGCCCCTGCAGGGGCTGCTCTGCCTACGGAGTCGCCTGCTCCTGTCAGCTGTACTTTTAAACACCCTCTTCTCTGTTCTGGCAGCTGTTGTCCTCTACGAGCTGGGCTGCGTGGTGCTGCAGTGTCGCAGGACAGCCTTCCTGTCTGCCATCCTCTTCTGCCTCACCCCAGCCAATGTGTTCATGACAGCCGCCTACTCGGAAAGCATGTTTGCCCTCTTGGCATTCAGTGCCATGTGGCAGCTGGAGAAGGGGCGTAGCTGGACCAGCGGACTGCTTTTCTCCTTTGCTGCTGGCGTGCGCTCCAACGGGGTGATCAATGCTGGCTTCCTGCTCTATACCCAGAGCAGACGCCTTGCCCTCCAGCTCCAAGCTGGTGCAGGGTCTGTCATGAAACAGGCTTGGGTCTGGAGGCAACTTCTCGGCTTGGCAGCCTCAGTAGTTCTGACGTGTGCTGGCCTCTTTTTATCTCCTGCTTTGTTTCAGCTCTATGCTTACTTGAGATTCTGTGACCCTGATGTCAGCCCTGAACATGCTGTTCCCCAGCCGCTGTTGCAGCTGGCCGTGGACAAAGGGTATCGCCTAGCAGGCATGACTGGGGTGAAACCTGCGTGGTGCTCCCACCGGGTTCCTATGATCTATTCTTACATTCAAGATGTTTACTGGAACGTGGGTTTTCTGCGATACTTTCAGCTGAAACAGATCCCCAACTTCCTGCTAGCTGCTCCCATCACAGTGCTGAGCACTTGGGCTGCCTGCGTCTACCTCACTGCCAATCTCCAGGACTGCTTAACGCTTGGCCTGGTGAGAAGAAGGAATAAAAGCAGGGGAGGAGAGGGCGCTGCTAAGCCAGGGGTTGGATTTTGCTCCTCTGGTGTCTTCGTATATGTGGTCCACGCCACTACTCTCTTGGTATTTGGACTCCTCTGCATGCACGTGCAGGTAAGATGATCACGGTAATGTGTGAGTTGTTTCTTCAAGCAAAATAAGTGCTGAGGAAGGGCAGTGGATGGATAGTCACGGAGACTGAGATACCCTAACCACAGGATAGGCCCAGGACAGCGCAGGCTTTTTTGTGTGGAAGCTCTGCCTTTCCCGTCTGGGCTGCTTCCAGATGAGAGATCATTTCTTCAGTTTCTGAAGCCATTTAAGTCATGTCTGTCATTGAGACTGATCAAAAAGAGGCCGGCAGGTGCCAGGGCTGATGGAAACGCTGGGTTACCAGCTTGTTTCTCGTAGGCCATCTGTCGACTGGATGATGTTTCTAACATGCTTATCTCCAGTTGAGCCAAATGGTGCTAATCAGCTCTCGGGGGG